CTCTCTGAAACATTCTCTGCTTCTCCTCCCTCTCTCAGAGACCAGCCAGCCTACCTCACCAGCAGCTGGTCTCAAATTTAATGATAAGAGGCTGTGATCACAGGGTGCGGAATGAATGAGGTTATGAAAACTCCCACTGCTTGCAGTTCTTCCATAACTTGCTGGAACTTGGCGGAGACAAGGGAAAGCAAATGACATTTGGAAGCTAAGGCAAATGGGGACTGAGGCTGTAGCTTAGCTGGTCAAATGCTACTTGCCTAGGATACATATAACACTGGGTTCATCCTCAGCACCAAATACAAATGGGTGTGGTGGTGCAAGTGCAAGCCTGCCATTCTAGCACTTGGACGGTGGAGGCAGACTCAAGGCCATCTTTGTCTACCTAGCCAGTTTGAGACCGGCACAGGAAACTATTAAAGACACATAAATAAACCAGAGAACTGATTCTTATAAAGCAATAGCAAATGCAAGAAGGGATTGAAGATAGATGCTACTTCTAGTGAGATTAAGAAATCCAACAACAAATAAAAATACCTGTATTGGGACAAAGGCTTGCTGGAGTCATCTGTGGGATCGATGACAGAAACATGGCACAGGGGAACAACTAAGACCTGAAAGAACAGACCCTTCTGGCTCTAGGATCATCTTTATCCATCATTTTGCGAGCCCGGGTATGGTCATGGTCTAGTTGAAGCTCCATGCTCAGCCTGGTTGACTCATAACAGAGCTGCTTTCCTGGACCAGTACACTAACGATAGACTGAAAGGTTCTGGTGAATATCATTAGTGATACAGCTTATACTTCCCTGTTGAGGTCCAGCCGCAATGGGGTTCTCATGTTCCAGGGCAACGGCAGGTGGATTAGAAATGCCAGGCAGACCGAACAGAGACACAAAAGAAATAGACAGAGACACAGAATAGAACCGGCAGGGCAATCCGGGGGATACTGAAATCGCCCATATTTACTTTCCATATGTTTATATATCCCAATCTAAAAGGCGGGAGGCTGGGAGAGAGAAGTCAGAAGACTACTTTAACATGATACAAAGACTAAACAGAGCAATTACCATTTTAATACCTGAAGCGTCAAGCAACTATACCTTGAGTTAAGTGTTCTGGTGTTCAGGCAGGACGGGCAGCAACCACACCTTAGGCCAAGCACCCTGTAGGCAGTCACTCCCTGGGTCAAACCTCCTTGAAGGAGCAGGAATAGGCCTGAACTCTCTGACCTTTACCCAAGGTGGAATGAACCCACTTCTATGGTCTCCCACACTTCCCCAGCCCACAACCTCCCTCCAATACACAGTAGAAGGCCACAATTACTCTAACGCCATGGAGGGGCAGCAGGGAGGATAACCAGATTAATTCTGAGATTGGGGATGGAATCTTGGGATCTGCTTAATACGGATTTAAAGCGAAGAAGAGAAGCCCCAGTGAAGTAATGAGTTTTAGCACCTAAACCCCGAAGCCATTTCCTGTGCTTATCTATGCTCTTTTGTCTGACTTTGCTAGTTCGCACGGCTGGGGAGAACAAGGAGAGTACTTGTCTCTTTCATCAGTGTTCCCAAAGGCCGCGCCTTGTGCAGTGGCAGTATATCATCACCAGTGAACTTTATCCCTGGCATGACTACTGCTAATTGAAATCTTCTCCCAGGGACCAGTCGGACTCATGTGCTCTCTGGTTTGTTTGGGTATGATGTTTGCCCAGCCTGGAGGACCTAGGTCAGTCTGGGCCTTTGTCCAACCCTCTTGGCAGCAGAGAGGCAATTATCACTGACAGACTGGTCCTACGTCCCTCCTTGAGCTCTGCTAGACTCTGAAGCCTGGTTAGCAGCCATAAAGAGCTAGCCGTGAGGCTGGAGACTGGTACGCTGCCTGATTCAGCTATGCTATATTCTACACTTGCCTCAGCTTCTCTTTGTGATGAGACCCCCATTCTCTGAACAAGAGCCGATCTATCTGAGACATCCAGCGAGTTCTTCCCCAACGCTTCCCTTTGTGGACTGGATGCCACCCTCTTTATCCTTAGCTTTTTTAAAAAACTAAGCTGATGGCACGGAACTATGGAAGTCATCCATGTCCACCTTTGTTATGACAACTCTAAACCTTCATGAGCTTCTCTGCCAGCTGCAACCAGGGATAAGTCCGTAGCGCCCTTCCCCACACTGTGCCTTCAATGCACAGTCTCTACCATTTTCCTGGCTGTGTGACGTCATCTTTATCGCATCCCCGAGTCTGTTTGTGGACCACACCCACCCAGCATGCCTTGCATATAGATCTGTCCTGAGCTAGGTGGCTCATTTCAAATCAGCCTCTATTCCTAGTCCCCCTTGTCAGGATGCCATCCACTACCCCAGATCTTGTATCACCACACCAGTACCTCATCTGAAGACCTTGCTTTGCTGCTGCCCACGTGGCTGCCATCCCTTCTTTTAGTTATAAACCAAGTACATTGCTTCTACATCTTTGTGTGCCCCTGACGTCACTAATGTGCCAACTAGATGCCCTATCACTGTTTGCTGAAGGAATGAAGAAATTATAGACAAACACTAACTAAATAAATGGAGTATAAAAGCCTCGCTGGCCCTCTGACCACACCCTACTCAGCTCACGCTTCACCTCCTATACTGTTCCTTCTAAAGGACAGAATTCCCCAGTCTAAAGAAGCCAGTGGTTCCCGCTGCCTATTGCATTAAGCCCACATCTCATCTGATTCAAGCCTGCTCCAACTCCTCTGCCAGGCCTGGCCTGTCCTCTGCCAACAGTATCTTCCTCCTCCTAATTTCCCCTAACTCCTACCCAATGCCTTTCACAAGCATCCATTCACCTCCATTTTTTCTGATCCTTTTAATTTTCCTGTCTTGATGTCTAAATTTCTTTGAAAATATATGTATTTTAGCGTGGGGGGGGGAGTCATGGGTCAAAGGACCACTTTAAGAAGTCAGTTTTCTCTGTCCAGCTTGTGGGTCTTGGGGATTGAACTCAGGTCTTCAGGCTTGACAACAGATACCTTTACAAGGCAAACGTTCTCTCTGGCCCAGGGCCTACTTCTCCTTTGAAACTTGTCCCCTCCTTCACTCCCATCTTGGTGCTGAGCATAGTCGGGTTATCTTTCTGACTGAAACTCAGCGCCTAAATACTTTAGGGTAAAAAGTCCTGTCCCTTAAGTGTTGCTCCAGATTTTATCTGGCAAGACACTTGTCTTCAAAAGTCCTTTCGGGGTGATCTACACGAGTGTTCGTGGCAAGCCTGTAATTGAACACATGAAAACAATTAGCTGCTCAGGATGCTCGCAGAGAAACTGGGGGAAACCTCGAGGTTCAGTTTAGACGCTTCCAGGCCGAGGAGATAAGTGGTACCAAGCATGGCACGTCGCGTACATGCTGTGTAGAGCAGGCAGGGAGGTGAGAAATGGTGCTAGGGTTGTAGCAAATTCACTTCTGTCTCCAGGACTTAGAGTTCTTTATTTCTTTGTTGAGAGACGTTTGCTAATAACAAAAGCTGATTGTCATCCTTACCTCGTGCCAGGACTGAGATAAATTCTCACAAGCGTTACTCCTTAAAGCACTTGAATGGTTTCTCAGATCAGGAAAAGACGGCTCAGAGAAGCTAGGAATCAAGTCTTGACATCAAGAGGCAGAGTTGAGATTTGAACATCAATCCAACTTCGTCGCCCATAATCTCAAACCACTACTGGATGTTTTGTTTGTCTCTGTTTTCTATTTTTTGTTTGTTTGTTTGTTTTATTGGGACGTCTATTTTCTAAAAATCTATCCTTTGCAAATTTCTCTTGGGGTATATTTTACAATCAATATAGTATGTGTTTATTATTGGGGGGGTCAGACAAAAAGACATTTTACTGTAGATACAAAATTGCAACTTGCCACTTTTTCATATGTTACCTTGCATTATGTTCATATTGCTTCATATCCATAGGCCACAAATTTCTCAAGAAATTTTCAGTGTCCTTGAATGTGAAAATTATGTTTTAAATTTATACTCTACCTCCCACAGTGGGCCTAACTGTGTTATCCAACAATACTCACCAACATTACACTCTAGAGTAAAGCCAAGCTAATAAAAATTGTTAGGAGCACAGAGTTTTAGTTTCCGTGCACTGCACCCAGAACAACATAGCAACTTGGAAATAATCCTGTGGCGCAAACACTGAAAGTGTTACTACAGACCCTAAATATCGAAACTGGCTTTGAACGCCCAAGCCATATCCTATATGCTAAAGCAATCTTGTCTGGGAAGCTCTCCGGAAGGACAGAGGAGGGCTCTGTGGAAGGTGTTGATAACCCATGCGTTGGCGCCCTCTGCTGGCAGAAGGAGGTTCTTTGTGTCTTTGCGGGAATTCTTGGTTCAGGTGTGTAGTTGCTTATAGTATCCAGCCCCAGTCAGTTCTTAGTCTATAAAGGAGAACAACCACCCACCCCCTGAGTCTTTCTCCTTTTGCTGCAACCAAATACACATCCTATTCTTGTTCGAGGACAGCACATGTGTCCCCGAAGCCAGGCTCTTTGTACACTGCTGGCAGAGAAGCTCCACATACCTGACACACATTCTGCCCTGACAAGTACAGCCTTGACTGTCCGCTGCGCTGCGCAAAGCCCGGCTTGCCACAGTCTCAGCTAGTGCTGTCTCGGTATTGTTTGTCGTAGATAAGAATTTTTAAGTCTCGACCAGTGGAAGGAATCAAATACCTACAATTCTTTGATTTGTTCAGCTGAAATAATTACTGGCACATATTTCTTAGCATGTGGTTTTCTCTATTTCTCTTTCTCAGAACTTTAAGAATATGAGTCATAATTGTTAATCATGTCAATGACTCCTCAAAATCTGAGATTTGTGCCGATGCCGCCAGGCAAAATTCTTCTGCACGGTTTTCCCACAGAGCACTGAGCATTTCTTTCCCTGCTTGGGTTGAGAACTTTAAGAATCACTGGAGAACTTAAAATGTCACCATTGCATGACACACTGCAACCTTTATAAAGAGGATACTTATAAACGGCTGGTTTTATTTTATTATTCTATTTTAAGGGGCATCGCCCGTTTTTAGAGGCATGACAATGTTTAAAATCCTTGTTGTTAAATTGTACGCATGGAATGAAATGGGCCTGGCATCGGACAGGACTCCGTCACTTACTGTTTGTGGAGACAATTCACCAGTAGTGTCAGTGCATGCTCTCGTTGGGTGTGCCAAGAATGCAAGATTGATCACTCTTTCTTTGGGTCTTTTTTTCGGAGTTGTGTTTGCAAGGAGCAGTTTTGAGAGATGAGGTAATGTCTCTCTGTGGAACAAAGAACAGGCTTGCTCACTGCTCGCCATAAAACATAGTAGTTTCCGAGCTCAGCATTCCTCGCCTATAGTGAAGACCGTTTTGTGTTCAAGCATGCATCTGGGGCCCATATGCTTTGTTCGGAGAGAATCCGAGTTCAGAGAGCCAACATGAACATGATGACCCTCTGGCTACTGCTTTGTTGTCAACAGTCCACTCGTGTTCTGTCAATATCGATAAAGCCGTGAAAGATTTATTTAGCCTGCAAGGTAGAAAAAAAAATCTGATTCTCCACACTTGACCTCACTAGATGGGTCCCCAATGTGCGTGATTTAACTTAAGCTGTGGTTTTTCTTTCTCGAATGGGGATGCTGGTACTTGTCCTTTAATAGAAAAATGTCCTCCCCCACTAGAAGGTTCCAGAGAATTCCCTCTCTCCTTTTAGTGCACCGCGCTAGGCAAGGACCTGTTGTTTGACGCCTGCTTCTGCCCGGCAGGGACGACCCTGTGGCCGCAGATACCCAATTTTTGGTGTAAAGGTGTCAGCGTCAGGTCGCGCCACGCGAGTCCTACGCAGGCGGGGCCCGGAGAGCCGCACGCTGATTGGAGCCCAAGCCGGGGCTTTTGTCTGGCAGCGGCCGTTGCCTAGCAACCGGGGATTTATTTAGCTAGTTCTCTCCGCGTGGCTTCGGGGTCGTCTGATGGAGTCGCGGGTGGGTGGGGGGCGCTGGAAACCCACTCCTGCCCACGCCGCAGCTCCAATTCACGGCGAACCCCGTCCTTCTGAGCAAAGGTGCCAGGTCGTTCGCTGCCCACCACGCCCAGGCGGGGAAGACGCCTCCATCGCGCTCGGCCGCGCGCCCTGCAGCCGCGGCGCCCGCACCCGCGCGCTCCCCCGCGACTCCATCAGACGACCCCGAAGCCACGCGGAGAGAACTAGC